AATGGATCGTATTTCGTCATGAGAGCGTCTCACGCTCCCATGCTCAGTTAGTTTCGCTGCTTCTCTTTAAGCAAGCTCAGATCATTTCTAGCTGTTTAACCTTTCTTTTGATGCTTTATCGGTGTCATTTTAAGAGAGAGCTTCTCCATCTCCAACTTCATGACAGCTCTGTCTATTTCATCCAATTCAGTTGGTTTAGAAGTGATCTCCATTTTCAGCTTTGCAGCAGCTTCATCAACAAGATCAATGGCTGCAAGGGAAGAAACAAATATTACAATTTTCAAAGCAACCAAACTCAACTGACAATTCAATTCCCTTTCAGGTCAACTTCCAATGAATCTTGACTCCATTGCAGGTCCAACTGAATTTCCACTTTAATTCTAAAATTAATATTAATTTATTGTCCTCACTTGTACTTATTTGACTATATTTACACATATGTTTAGATTTGTAGTTGAACTGCCAATTCATATCTTATTCTCAAGAAAAGATGATACAAGCAATTAGACTGCCCCTTCTTATTCTTCACCACTCTCTTTTTATCTTTTTCCTTGACTACTTCAATCATTTAAGTGAACAAGTGAACTACTGTCAACATTACACATGAAAGGTCAACCATATGCATGTTTCCATGAAATGAAAAAAAACAAATTCTCTTTAACTCGCAACCATCAGGTCCTGCGTCTAATGGAGGCCAAATTGAAGCTGATTGGTTTTACTGGAACTAAAAAAATTTGCTCTTTAATGTAGGCTAGAAACGAGCTATTAATGTCAAGAAATGGGCTATAATATTTTGGAATAAATTCTTAATATGACTTATTTATAAGCGTGATAAAAGAAACAACGAATTTATAAATTGTTATACCTTTATCAGGCAAAAAGCGTTCTGTGATGTACCGGTCTGCAAGAACTGCTGCTGACACAAGAGCACTGTCTGAAATTTTAACACCATGATGTAACTCATAGCGCTCACGCAGTCCACGAAGAATAGATATAGTGTCTTCAACAGATGGCTGACCACAAAACACTTGTTGGAATCGACGCTCAAGTGCAGGATCCTTCTCAATGTATTTCCTATATTCATTTAACGTAGTTGCCCCAATACAGCGGAGCTCACCTCGCCCAAGCATTGGTTTCAAGAGGTTCCCAGCGTCCATTGCACCACTCGTAGCTCCTATAAAAGAATCAACAATAAGAGGTTATAATCTCAAATAACCATCTCAGTCTACATTTCCCAGTAACGTACAAGAGAGAGCACTATGAATCCGTGAAGTTGCTTTGTGCTAAAACAGAAAATATAAATGCATAATTGTAAACATCAGTGGCCATGAAAACCACGCTCCCACGGATGGAGTTGCGATGGGGCAGTGGGGGGCCGATTGCCCCTATTGCGGTCTAAAAACTGTTTATAAATATTTCAAAATTCCAGATTTTCTTATTAATTTATAATTTTGCCTCAATTAAATCTCAAAAAAATATAATATTTTTCGCGTGCAAGTTCACAGAGTAAATGATGTATGAGAAAAGAAAGTTACATATAAGTTAAGTGGTCTATTCTTAATTCTTTAGTAATCAGTTTTCCCCCAATAGAGAATTTCTAAATCTATCCTGACTCTGCCACTATAAAAATAGTGTGGGTTCCCAAAATTCTGAATGAAAAACATGTTAAGTATTGTGCTAATTTAGTATCAACCATCATAATTTGTCATCACATTCAAGTACTAATAGAAATGTCAAGCTCTATGCC